TACTTGCACTTTGACGTGCTTTCAAACTGCTAGGTTGGCAGGAGCAGGGACCGAGCAACGGGAGCTCACCCCGTCGCAGGGATTCGAACCACCAACCTTCTGATCGGCAAGTCCTAGGCTCTGTGGTTTAACCCACAGCGCCACCAGTGTCCTCCAACTTACGTCAGTATTATTCTTATTCCCCATATTGCAGATGGAGACTGAGAGAAAACAGCCTATCTAAAACTACCTAATAAGCAGAGTCAGCCCTACCATTAGGCAGAGTGAGTAAACTGCTTCAGGTGGCAGATGTTGGGGGGCGGCAGCAGCCCTCCAAAGCTCCACCTCAAGCATTGCCTTCGGTTGGCTCACAGCTTGCCCTGGGCCCTGTAGTCTGGTCACAGAGGACACGTTCCATTCACCAGCACTGATTTAATCACCAGTCCAGACATATTCTATCCTTGGCATGGGAAGGGGACACATGAGGACATAAAGCATTTAAAAACCATATTGTCAGGAAAGCATTATTTAATGTTTGGATAAGATATAAGGATCTACTTGAAAATAAAACTCTAAAATGGCTGTCACCGATGGAAGCGAAGGCTCTGAAAAAGCTCAATATGGAGGCCAAATGGCCGAAATATTGGGAAATTTTGGAACAAGATGGAGATAGATTGAAACTGCAGAGTTTTGAGAAATTAAAAAACAAAGTGCGAGACTGGCTTCATTATTATCAGATAATGGAGGCATATAATTTGGATAAGAAAATTGGCTTCCAGGTGGAAAAATCAAAATTAGAAACAGAACTGTTAGAACCCAAAACTAAGATTTTGTCAAAGATGTATAACTTGCTGTTGAAATGGAATACTCAGGATGAAACGGTGAAATCTGCTATGATTAAATGGGCTCAAGATGTTGGACATAACATAATGATGGCTGACTGAGAACAGTTATGGACCACAGGTATGAAGTTTACGGCATGCAATGCCTTAAGAGAGAATATTATGAAAATGATATACAGGTGGTACATGACACCAGTCAAGCTTGCAAAAATCTATCATTTGCCCGACAATAAATGTTGGAAATGTAAAGAAACTGAAGGTACATTCTTTCACCTTTGGTGGACGTGCCCAAGGATTAAGGCTTTCTGGGAGATGATCTATAATGAATTGAAAAGGTATTTAAATATACCTTCTTGAAGAAACCAGAGACCTTTCTCCTGGGCATAGTGGGCCAATTGGTGTTAAAGAAGGATAGAACTTTCTTTATGTATGCCACAACAGCAGCAAGAATACTTATTGCAAAGTATTGGAAGACACAAGAACTACCCACTCTGGAAGAATGGCAGATGAAGGTGATGGACTACATGGAATTGGCGGAAATGACTGGCAGAATCCGAGACCAGGGAGAAGAGTTGGTGGAAGAAGATTGGAAGAAATTTAAAGACTATCTACAGAAATATTGCAAAATTAATGAATGTTAGAATGATGTTAGAATGAAGTTAGGTGGTTTAAGCAGTAATGCTATAAAGGTGTATGTAAAAATGGATTGATAACAGGTGAAAATTTAAAGTTATAGTATATTAAGTTAAAGGATTAAGAGAAAATAAAGAGGGAAAGAAATTGCTGAATTAACTAATTGAATTGGAATACAAAAAGGGAGGTATGAGGAGGTCAGGGACACCAGGATATGAATGTAAGGCATGGAAAGATTGATCTATTTTTTTAAAGTGTTTTTTATTCTTTTATTCTGTATTTTGTATTTTTCTTGTATTTTTATTTCTGTCTTTTGATTTTGCTTTTCTTGTTTTTATGTAACTCTTTTTTCTGAAATTTTAATCAATATCATTTAAAAAAAAAGAAAGGGAAGGGGACACATGAGGGTCCTTTGCCTCAGGCAGCAAAAGACTTTGGGCCGGCCCTGCTAGTGAGTTAATGGCAGAGGCGATCATTTGTCCAAGACACTTTCCTGATTAATTGTTCCCACACTGATCCACTAAACCACTCCCATGTTTCAGAAATACGGTTCAGTGTGGTACAATTCTTCTCCCTGCTTCCCAGTTGTGCAAGTCTTGGATTTGGATGCAGTTCCACGCCCACATTTCATTTCTGGGATTCCTTCTCTGTATTGGCCATTTCCTGTTATAGCCGCATAACAGCCCAGAAGGCAGTATCCCAAGACTCTCCTCTTAAACCATCAGTCTCCCCTTAGGCATGCTGGGACACTCACTGAATGTCCCGTGCTGTGAGGGAGGGCAAGGAATGATAATGGTGGGTGTGGCAAGGATCCAGGAAAAATAAAAATAAAAAGAGCAGGCATCTCTGATGTCTCAGCACCCTGAAGGATGTGTGTCCTTCCTGCACAACTCAGCATATCCTGTGTATTTTGACAGCTAAGATGTTGCTATCTTTTGTACAGATTGCCTGCTAATGATCAGCTGATGTTTCAATGGGCACTAAGGGATGGAACATATTTTTTCAATGGCTCATGATGGCTGCTGGCTTCACAAGTGACCAGCCTGCTGTTTGCTTTCTGGGGATCCTGGTGTTGCATATCCTCCAACATTTCTCCCATGAAAATAGGGACGTCCTATTGAATAAGAAGAAGAAGAAGAAGAAGAAGAAGAAGAAGAAGAAGAAGAAGTGCTTTTTTCTTTAAAAATGTTTGGGGATATTCTCATTTTGACTCAAGAAAATCACCATTTTATAATTCAAATCAGGAAAAATAAATACAGTAAATGGATAAAAGTACAAAGATTCACAAAATGTTTAGGGATATGCGTAACCTTGTGTCCCCCCAGAAAAAGCACTGATGATAATAATAATAATAATAATAATAATAATAATAATAATACGCCGCCCATCTGACTCTTGTTGCCCCAGCCACTCTGGGCAGCTTCCAACATATATACAAACATAAGAAAACATTAAACATTTTTTTAAAAAACCCTTCCCTATACAGGGCTGCCTTCGGATGTCTTCTAAAGGTTGTATAGTGACTTATCTCCTTGCTTAACTCCATACCCTCCCACCAATTCTCCAATGAAAACAGGACATCCTAAGGAAATGTCGGACATTCTGGGATCAAATCAGAAACCAAGAGAGCTTCTGTAAATCCAGGACTATCCATGGAAAATAGGGACATTTGGAGGGTCTGCATTTCAGCTGGCCATATCTCTCTAAACGCCCTTCTGCAAGGCACAAAGAGGCCAGACTGCAAGGGAAAATTACAAAGGGACACAACATTGCCGTCCAAAAGGGCAGTATTCAGAAGCCAAAGGAAGGATGTTCCTGCATTGCAGGGGGTTGGAGTAGATGACCCTTGGGGGTCCCTTCCAGCTCTACAACTCTATGATTCTGTGATTTTTGGATTGGGGAGCACTGCCTTAACTCTAAGCACACACAGACATGTAATTTTATTATTTACATTTGTTTTCAAAATCTATTGATCTTCATATTTTGATCATTTTTATTATGTCTACTGTTTTCAAAGTCTGTTTTATTTGCTATTTTTAAGCGATTATTTTAATACTATTTTATGTGAACTGATTAGCGAGACCTTTTTGATTAAGCGGCATATAAATCTCACTAAATAAGAACATTACAATAAAAAAACCAGGAAAACAATGGTAAAAAGAATCACAACTTGTCCGTATTTTACTTTATTTTTGCAACAAGTCGAGTGAGATACATTGGAACAGCCAGAAGAGGTTATTTGGGGTCGAGTGACTCATATAATCTTAACTCAGCCTTGCCCAATTTGGGAACCTACAGATTCTGTGCATTACAGCTCTGCCAGCTGGGGTTGATGGGAGCTGCAGTTCATAACATCTGGAGGGAGCCAGGTTGGCGGAGAATGCATTTTAAAATTATTTTTTAATTGCAAGTTTATTAAGGAAATTTAAAAACCAAAGTGTGTGTGTGGGGGGAGAGAAATAATTATAAAAATACTAATACGAGAGGAGGAGGGTAGGAAGAAAAAGAAGGAAACTCCACTGAAAAGCTCATATTCTGTAATAGATTGTGAGTATTTAGGTTGCTTCGACACCATGCATTTAAAGAACTATGATACCACTCATAACAGTAATGGCGTCCCCCCAAAAAAGAATCCTGTGAATTATAGTTCGTTATGGGTGTGCATGTTGCTAGGAAAGCCCCTCATCCCCTCACAGATCTACAGTTCCAGAGTGGTTTAACAACCAATGCTTCTTCCCAGAGAACTCTGGGAATGCTAGCTCTGTGAGGGGAATAGGGGTCTCCTAACAACTCTTGCGCCCTTAGCAAACCACAACTCCCAGGATTCTTTGGGGGAAGCCATGATTGTTAGAATTATATAACAGTGCTTTAAACGAATGATGCAGCCCTGACCTTCCAGATTTGGCAGTGCAGTCGTATCTTGGTTCTCGAACACCTTGTGACTCGAATGTTTTGGCTCCCGAATGCCGCAAACCTGGAAGTAAGTGTCCCGGTTTGCGAACTTTTTTTGGAAGCCAAACGTCCAACGGGGCTTCCGATTGGCTGCAGGAAGCTCCTGAAGCCAATCGGAAGGTGCGCCTTGGTTTTCAAACATCTTCAGAAGTCGAGCGGACTGACGGAACGGATTCTGTTCAAGAACCAAGGTACGACCGTATATATCTCTTAATGACCACAAGGGCTCATCAAATCTGTCTTGTCCTTCAGACCAAAACGAGATGCTGGACAATTTGCCTTATTAAAATGCTCCCGTTCGCTTCGTTCCCTGCCAGTGGCATTTTGGAAGGTGAGAAAAGGTCAGAGACCTCATAGGCCCCATTGCTGGACTCCTTTTTCCACTGCAGAGGAGATGAACTAGGCTTAAGGACGGCTGCCTTGACGGCATGCGAGAACAGGCAGCAAGTGAGGCACATGTGACTCAGCCTGTGTGACTCAGCATGCGAGGCTGGGCAGGATGTGAGGCAGTCCCGGCAGCGTGGCTCCCATCGCGCATGGTGTTGTTGTCGAGTGACATCATAATCCAGACAAAACAGGACTCTTTGCAGCAGTGTGCTCTCTCACACAGACAGGAAGTGTAGTCCTCAAGAGGCACAGGAAACGGGGAAGGCCTGGAGTCCTGGAAAGGCTGATAACTCCCACATTTTTCCTTTGACGGAAGTGGGGAGATGGGGTGGCCGCTTGTAAGACGTGCTCGAAATAGCTTGGTGGTGTTCTCTCCTTCTACTACTTCTGACTTTGTATAAGGCAGCCTTCTATGCTTGGGGAAAGGCCATATCTAAGTTGGAGAGCATCTGCCTTGCAGAGCCGTCTTTCCCATAGGGCTTAGTGGTGCGTTGCGCCGGGGCTCCGGCCTCTCAGAGGCGCCCCAGCGAGTGGGGGAGCTGCGCGGCTTTGCCGGCGGCCTCCCCTTTCTCTGCGCGCCCGCCAGCTGTGCCCTGTCAACCATATGGCTGGCGGGCGCGCAGCTTCCCTCCCAAGCCTCTGGAGGGATTGCTCTCCCACAGCGGCATGGGGGAGAGTTGCGCACCCTCCCCATTGCTGGCAGTGCGCAGCTTCACCCCCTCCCCCACTATCCATGGTAATTTAGGGGCGCTAAGCATGGCCAGCAGGGACGTGGGTGGTGCTGTTGGTTAAACCACAGAGCCTAGGACTCGCTGATCAGCAGGTCGGCGGTTCTAATCCCTACGATGGAGTGAGCTCCCGTTGCTTGGTCCCAGCTCCTGCCAACCTAGCAGTTCAAAAGCTCGTCAAAATGCAAGTAGATAAATAGGTACCGCTCCGGTGGGAAGGTAAACGGCATTTCCGTGTGCTGCTCTGGTTTGCCAGAAGTGGATTAGTCATGCTGGCCACATGACACCGAAGCTGTATGCCGGCTCCCTCGGCCAATAAAGCGAGATGAGCGCTGTAACCCCAGAGTCGGTCACGACTGGACCTAATGGTCAGGGGTCCCTTTACCCCCTTTAAGCATGGCCAGTGGTCAGGGATGATGGGAGCTGGAAGTTGAGCAAGATCTGGAGAGCCACAGACATTTCCCAAACTTCTTCTGACTTGGTATGAGACAGCCTCCTATGATTAGGGACAGGCCATATCTAAGTGGGAGAGCATCTGCCTTGCATGGAGAAAGGCCCAGGTTCAATCCCCAAGAAATATCCAGGTAGGGCTGGAAGTGCCACCTTCCTTCCTGAAAACCCTGGAGAGCTGTTGCCAGTCACTGACAACACTGAGCCAAGGGGACCGATGGCCTGACTTCCTGCGCATCCCACAATTTGCATGTTGACAAGCTGGAATGTGTACAGAGGAGGGTAAATAAGATGATCAAGGGTCTAGAACAGGGGTTGTCAACCTGGTCCCTACCACCCACTAGTGGGAGTTTCAGGATTCTAGGTGGGTGGCAGCGGGTTCTACAGCACAGGCTGAATCCTTCTTCCATCGAACACTGGTGGGCGGTAAGGAAATTTTGCCATCAAGAAAGATGCATTAGTGGGCAGTAGGGAAAAAAAAGGTTGACTACCCCTGGTCTAGAAGACAAGCCTTATGAGGAATGGTTGAAGGAGCTGGCTATTTTTAGCATAGAGAAAAGGAGATTGAGAGGAGACATTGTTATAAGAAAAACCGTTCCCTTTCCCTTATGGGGTATTCTAGAGCCCACATAGAGTCCTTAAGTGGGTTCCCTATCGGTTGGAGAAAATAACAGAGGTCAACCAGAGTATATTGAGAAGCAAGGCGGCTAGTAAGCCTGATCTTTATTCAAGGAACTGTTGCAACAGGGTCCCCACTCACCACACACAGGAGGGAGGAGGAACCAAGAACAATGGTGCATAAGCCCTTATATAAACTTCTGAAATTGCCCACCCTGTAGCCCAAGACCACCCCTGAAACATCATACATACATCACAGAAGGAGGTGGTCTACAGCAGAAATCCTGTCTGCCACGATACCTGATAATGGTCATTGATTGCATTACCTGGGTAGCGTGGCCATTCTTTCGTGATGGTTACTACTTTAGTTCCTGAATCCAGGTCACAGACTCACCCTATTCATACACAAATACACCCTTAAGACAGGATTTGCAAGCAAAAAAGCAATGGGAAGGCTTTCCCCATTTGCCTCCCTTACTGCAGAGGAATATTTGAGGTCACTGGGAGAGTCAAAATGGCTTCAGGATTGCTCTCCCGTACTATTTCAGACACACGGTTCATATATTTAGATATGTGTGCATTTATGAATATTTATTCTATATTTGAGACCTTAAAATTCCTATAATATCTTGTAACCCTGGAACGTTCAGCTTTGTCCAAATTCATGGATTATGAAGCTATCTGTGGCTCCTAGCCATGATGGTTCAGAAAAGGGCAACCAAAAATTATGCAGGGGGTTGGGCAAATCCACTAAGTGGAAAGGTTGCAGCGTTTGGGACTTTTTAACGTTTGGAGGACAGGTGAGTAAGAGGCAACATGGTATAAGTTTACAAAATTATGGGGAAAGTGGGGAGAGAGAGAGAGAGAGAAGTTTTTCTGCCTCTCTCGTAGCACTAGAACTGGTGGACGTCCAAAGAAGTTGGATGTTGGACTATCCAAGACACATAAACACAAGTCCTTCTTCACACAGCACATAGCTGAACCACTGAACTCATTCCCAGAGGAGGCAGTGATGGCCCCTCCCCAACTTGGATGGCTTCAAAAGAGGATTGGACAAATTGATGGAGGACGACTGTTGATGGCTGCTAGCCAGGCTGGCTATGCTCTGCCTCCGCAGCTGGAGGAAGCCATGCTTCAGAACGCTACTTGTTGGAAGTCACAGGGGGATCTTGTGCTCAGGTCCTGCTCGAGGGTTTCCCACAAGGCATCTGCTTAGCCCAGGCATAGGCAAACTCGGCCCTCCAGATGTTTTGGGACTACAACTCCCATGATCCCTAGCTAGCAGGACCTGTGGTCAGGGATGATGGGAATACATCTGGAGGGCCGAGTTTGCCTATGCCTGGCTTAGCCACTGTGAGAACAAGATGCTGGACTAGGTAGGGCTCCTTTGGCCTAATCCTGCAGGCTCTTCTTCTGTCCTCATGCAAAGGCATGGCACGTGCTCGGAACTAGCTCAGCACAGGACCCATAAACGGGGAGGTGCGTGTAGGACTATTTGGGAAACAGGAGCAGGAAACAGATGGAACCAACACTTCAGATAACTAATCTAATAGATAAACAGGGCATGTTTTAATAATGGACATGTACAGTAGTTGGTTAAGGGTGCTGAGAGTTGTTAAAGGTAAAGGGACCCCTGACCATTAGGTCCAGTTGTGGCCGACTCTGGGGTTGCGACACTCATTTTGCTTTATTGGCTGAGGGAGCCGGCATACAGCTTCCAGGTCATGTGGCCAGCATGACTAAGCCGCTTCTGGCGAACCAGAGCAGCGCACAGAAACGCCGTTTACCTTCCTGCCGGAGTGGTACCTATTTATCTACTTGCACTTTGACATGCTTTTGAACTGCTAGGTTGGCAGGAGCAGGGACCGAGCAACGGGAGCTCACCCCATCGCGGGGATTCGAACCGCCGACCTTCTTAGGAGACCCATATACTCCCCCCCGAGCTACAATCAGAGGTGTATCTAGGGACTGGCAAAACTGACCCCTCGCTGGGGGCGCAGGTCTGGGGCGTATGCAGAAATCACCTATGTGTGTGATGATGTGCCACCGCTATTGCAGCAAGATCAAATGTGGGAGAATCTTCCCATCCTGACACCGCAACACAAAGGTGAGCAGTGAAGTGATTTCTTTTGGGGGGTGGGGGTGGAGAGAACAGATACAGCTCCTTGCCAAGGGCACAAGGGACCCTGGGAATGCCTCTGGCTACTGTTCCCAGAGTTTCCTGAGAAGAAGGAGTGATGGTTAAAGCACTTTGGGAAGTGTAGTTCTGGAAGGAGAATAGGGGGTCTCCTAGCATCGCTCAGCACCCTTAACAGACTACAACTCCCAGGGTTCTTTGTGGGACGCTGTGGCTGTTTAAAGTGGTATCATAGCTTTTTAAATGTGTGGTGTGACTGTAGCCACACAAAGAGGCCTTTCTAGGGAGCAAGCAAGTGTGCTGGCTTGCCCCTGAAATTGTGGGGGCCGTGTGACGTGCGCATGTCTTGCAACATGCCAACGTCACTTGCACATGCCAGGCAATGTGCTGGCATGCTGTTTGCATGCCGGATGGATTGTGATGCGAGCACACTGCACGGCGTGCGCAGGTGAGTTGAGCATGTTGCGCCACTTGCACGCACGGCCGCCACAGAATTTTGAGGGGCCCAGCCCCCTTCTTGACAATTTTGGGGGGTCCTTGCCCCCCACCCCACAGATGGAGCCCCTGTGAGCAAGAAAGACGCAGCTGAGAGTCTTGGTACAGAGTGGTCCATGCCCCAGACAGAAAAGAAGTGGGGCAGCTGTCTGCTTGGAGGGAGAAGAGAGGGAAACAGAACCGCCCCGACTGAGTTGACTCTCTTCTCCATCTTCGCCTTCGTCTTCTGTCTCGGGTGTGGCGCCTCTGACTCCCTAGGGGGATCCCAGCCAGAATCTTCTCTCGCTGGTGTCGTCTCTGTGTCTCGCAAGGGAGGCCCGAGCAAGATTTTTGATGGTGGTGGCAGTCTGGCATTCCTGCGCAGGTTTTGGTGGCATGCCAACTCTGGTAAAGAAATGAGTCTCTTTCCCATTGAGCTAGAGGCCTGAGCAGGTTGGTAAGTCAGGCCCATGAAACCGGGAGAGAGAAAAGTCAGCCTTCTGAGGTTGCGAGCTGTTAGTCCTGTGCCTGTATCCAAGTGCATCTAATCAAGAGAAAGGGAAGAATGCTAGCAGACAGACAGGAGCACCCCACCCCAATTTCAGTGCTCCAAGGTCTTTGCCCAAGAAGGGGCCTGAAGTTGCAGTGTTGCATTATTGTGATCAGCGGCTTGAATGGAAACTTGCAAGGTGTCTTGGGTAATTGCAAGATATTAACGTAGCAATGTTTGCCCCTTTCGAAAGACGAGTTATCAGACTGTGCACTGGGGAGGGGGCCTTAGCTCAGTGCTAGAGCATCTGCTTTGCATACAGAAGGTCCCAGGTAGATTACCTAGCATCTCCAGGTAGACCCCTGCTTTAAAATCTAGAGAGACACTGCCTGCCAGTGTAGAAATACAGTGGTACCTTGGTTCTCAAACTTAATCCATTCCAGAAGTCCGTTCCAAAACCAAAGTGTTCCAAAATCAAGGTGTGCTTTCCCATAGAAAGTAATGCAAAACAGATTAATCCGTTCCAGACTTTTAAAAAACCACCCTTAAAACACTGCATTGATGATAGTCATTGTTTGGATGGGAGGCTTTTATCCATTTCCACAGTCACACAATCAATCAATCAATCAATCAATCAATAGCTGAACTGGGATCCAGTAGTCACAAGAACAAATTAACTGAAAAAACCTCAAAACAAAAACGCAAAATAAATGGCAAAAGCACCAAATATAAGCTCCAAATATCACCTCCGAACACTGCAATCAGAAACAGAAGGTTTGTATTACAATGGGGGGACGCAAATGAGCAGTGCAGCAGGAAACACAGGGGGACTCAAAACGGAGCACGTTCGGCTTCTGAAAAAAAGTTCGAAAAAAGTTTGAATACCGGAACATCTATTTCCGGTGTTGAAGCGTTCGGGTTCCAAGTTGTTCGTGAACTAAACTGTTCGAAAACCGAGGTACCGCTGTACTCAGGTTGATGGGCCAAGAGTTTATCTCTGTATAAGGCACCTTCCTATGCGTCTGAACACGAGCTAAAGTAGTGCATGAATAGCCATGGTGTCAGTGAAATGCACTCTGCGTATGCTCTGAGGAGCTCTCTCCTTTTATGTGTTCCATTCTGTCGTAAGGCCAAGCCCCGGGCAGAGGAAGAGAGAAAAGGCTCAGGAACACAGCACTTCAATCCAGCCTTCCGTCTCCATTTCAGCACTGCCCTCAGGGCACAGTCAGCAAAGATTCTCTCCACAAACTCTTGCAGCTGCCAAACAGCAAAGGGGAGCCAACCTCCTGTTCTCAGGAGGAGGAAACAGATCTTCTGAATGCCAGGGGGAAAAAGAGAGACAGCTGGATCCTTTCAAGAAACACAAACAAGTCCATTCAAACGTCTGGGCAAATTGTGGTGGGGCCTGACAGTCCGTTTCCTAAACTGAAACCCTTGAGTTGAACGGAACCACCATTTCACTGAAGCAAGAAGCCCTGCAATCCAGCTTTGATGATCTAACCGTATGTGTTTTTCTAGATCCTTCTAGGAGGCAGCGATACCCATTAACTTGGATGGCTTTAAAGGAAGATTAGACAAATTCATGGAGGAAAAGGCTGTCAATGGCTGCTAGGAGGGGAAAGGGCTCTTGGGCTTCAATCCTGCTTGCAGGTTTCCCATTGGGGCATCTGGCTGGCCGCTGTTGTGATGGCCTGGGATTCAGACTCAGAGGCTGAACCTGAGGAATTCCAGCCTGCACAGGAGTCCCCGCCTCCAGAACCAGCTGAGCCGGGGCTGGGGCTTGAGCCTGAAGGGTCCTCACCTGTGCCAGATCCTCAGAAGCAGACACCAGCTGAGTCTGCTCTGGCTCCTGAGGTGATGGAGGACCCATTGCCTGCAGGTGCTCCACTCTCAGCCCCGTCAGGGGAGGCTGAGGTTGCCTCTGGGTCCAGTAACCCTCTAGCCTCTCCTGAGCTGCAGAGGCTCAGGGCAGAGAGGCGGAGGGAACTAAGTTCCCGCAGGAGGAGTGCTCACCTCCAGGCCAGGAGAGGCGAGTCACCTGTGGACCGGGGCCACCCTATGCCTCGGGGCAGATAAAAGCCAGCCAGCCCCAGTCCCAGGTTGTGGGAGCAACGTTGTTGGTAGCCTGTCCCTGCCTGCACCCTGTCCTGCTTCTCTGCCAGAGCTCCTGACCTCACCCAACTCCCTGCCTTGGACCCAGCTACAACTTTGATGGACTGTCTCCCTACTGCACCCTCAACCTCGGACTGGACTCGGACCTCGCCTCACGGATAACCCTTGGGACCAGCACAGCTTTGAGAACAGGATGCTGGACTAGATGGGCCATTGGCCTGATCCAGCAGGCTCCTCTTCTGTTCTAAACATAGCAGAAAGGGTCTCAAGATTGCAGTGGGCTGTGGCTTGCTGCTTTGAACTGCTGCCTGCACAGGCCATAATCCAACAGGTGAAGCTTCTTCTTCTTTTAATCGTCACTGCATCTCCATTCCAGGAAAGGACAGCAGATAAAATGATAGATTACAACAGACCGAGAATGATATTCACAAACAAATCTAAAATTGGCTATTATAATGTACGTTTCATAGCATTGTAACAACAACAACTACAACCAAAACCTATGAAAAAATATTTAAAAAACCTGACTGTCAAAGGAAAACAACACTGTGGAAATAGAGCATGTCTGGAAAATCAAGACAATTCATATAATCCTGATTTTGGTAACAGCTCAGGGCTTAGTTCCAAAGGAAAACTGTTTCTGCTTAATGCAACGCAAAAAAGCTGTCATTCTCCAGACTTCCTATATAATCAGGAAATTCCTAAAGATCTCCTAACTCCACTCTTGATGGAACGCCGTGCTGGATACCACAGCTCTGTCTGAGCAAGAAATAGAACTCTGAACAATATAAAAGAGGGATGATGATAAATTATACTTTTCGTTTACAGTGCACTTTTGAGGGTTCAAAACACTTCACATTTGTCTCAGTCAACTTTACAAGCAACCATATAGAGTAGACCAGGATGAAGAAGAAGGCAAACGTAGAGATACCACATCTTTCAGCCTTGGGCTGGGGTAGAACAGTTTCTGCTGCTAAAATGACAGGTGGACAAATTGTCAACTTCAGTTCTCCATGTTTCTTTCTTTTTTCTTTCAATCTTAAATTCAGGTCTCCACATCTCTGCAACCATTTGTGATATGTGTGTGCTTTTTAAATAAAAAAATAATGAAGAAAATTCACCAGCCTTTTAGTGGAAATTTCTCTTAATAAATATGTTTTTGTACACAGTTTTGACTAAAATGCATTCTTGCATGCAATTTCCACTAACATAATGAATTTTTTTTTGCTTGTCCTTTTCACTAATATATGTATTTTTATGTTCATTTTTACCCTGGTATAGGTTTTTTGTACACTTGGCCGGAAAGCTGCATTGCAAAATTTGGAGAAGCGCGAATTCCCAAGGGTGGCTGCATTATGCTTTGTATATTGTTTCACGAAGTACCAACTGGGTAGGTTTGCCTTTAAACGCAAACTGACTCAAATTTGACCCCTGTGCCTACCTACTACCAAATTAAGCGTTAAGCCATCAGTCTTGCTTCTTCCTGACCCTGTGTGAGAGGCAGATGAGATATTCCAGGATGAGAGAGGGTGGGGGGAGAAATGGATGCCCTCAGGTGAGAAAATGAGAGGGCAAAGCCTTTTCTGTATAGGACAAAAGTTAAGGTACACCTGAGAGAGGAGTTCTTATTTTTAAAAAATCCTTTTTTCTTTTCATTCATTCTTTCTTTTTATTATTTTTGGTTTAGATTAGTTTATTTTTATTGAATTATGAAAAGCATTAATAAAACTTCTTTTTTAAAAAGGTCTTGCCTCTTCCCCTATGCCTTGGGGTGAGGCGGGGTCACTGCCTTTTAATTTTAAAGCACGGTGAGCGTACATCATTACGGGCTTCCTTAAATTCCTATCCACAAACGGTCTGACTCAGCAGAAGGCAGCTTCCATGTTCCTGCTGCCCCCAGTTATGAGCCTCTCAATATCAATTCCTGGGGCAAAATACACTCATGGTCTGCTTTTGTGCTTCCCAAAGGCATAACACCAAGCACATGGAATGGACAGGCCTTTAGCCTGACATCAAACAGGGCTCAACTGATGACTGGGAGTGGCTGCCAAGACCATATAAAACCAGTCCTGAAAGACCTACATTGGCTCCCAGTACGTTTCCGTGCACAATTCAAAGTGTGGGACTGATTTTAAAGCCCTAAACCAGGGTCAGCAAACTTTTTCAGCAGGGGGGCCGGTCCACTGTCCCTCAGACATTGTGGGGCGGCAGACTATATTTTGAAAAAAATATATGAACGAATTCCTATGCCCCACAAATAACCCAGAGATGCATTTTAAATAAAAGGACACATTCTACTCATGTAAAAACATGCTGATTCCCGGACCGCCTGTGGGCCGGATTTAGAAGGCAGTTGGGCAAGATCCAGTCCCCGTGCCTTAGTTTGCCTACCCATGCCCTAAACAGCCTCAGCCCAGTATACCTGAAGGAGCATCTCCACCCCCATTGTTCAGCCCGACACTGAGGTCCAGCTCCGAGGGCCTTCTGGCGGTTCCCTCTCTGCGAGAAGTGAAGTTACAGGGAACCAGGGAGAGGGCCTTCTCGGTAGTGGCGCCCGCCCTGTGCAACACCCTCCCATCAGATGTCAAGGAAATAAACAACTATCCGACTTATCAAAGACATCTGAAGGGAACCCTGTTTAGGGAAGTTTTTAATGTTTGATGTTGATAATTATAGTGCTCTTCATATTCTGCTGGGAAACCCAGCCAGATAGGCAGGGTATAAATAATAAATTATTATGATTGTTATTATGTTTCCATCCACAAAGAGAAACCAACCACCCAGGAAATGTGATGCACCTCCATGAGACTTAATGGATGGCAAATAGGAGCCTTGTGCCAGCTGGCCATTATAGAATCATAGACTTGTGAAGTTGTAAGGGACCACGAGGGTCATCTAAGTCCACTGCAGGAATCTTTTGCCCAACACTGGACTCAAACCCACAACCCTGAGATTAACAGTCTCATGCTCTACCGACTGAACTTTAAGAACACCAGTTTAAGAATGGTTGCCCGAGTCTGATTTCTCCTCCTCTTTCCTCCCTGTCCCTTTCCCCTTGTGTGTTGTGTTTCTTTAGATTGTAAACTTGCAGGAAGGAGCAACGGTCTTGCTTTAATTGATCATATGTAAGCCTTTTTGACCAAAGAATGGGATGTAAATGGAAATAACAATACAGTGGTATCTCTGGTTGTGAATGGGATCCGTTCCGGAGGCCCATTTGCAACATAAAAACCCCGCAACCTGAAGCACCGTATCTGCGCAGGTGTGCGGCGCGATTTAGCGCTTCTGCGCATGTGTGAGCGGCGAAACCCAGAAGTAACCCTTTCCAGTAATTCCAGGTCGCCGCGGGACACAACCTGAAAAAACGTAACATGAAGCAAACGTAACATGAAGTATGACTGTACCTCGGGTTACATACGCTTCAGGTTACAGACTCCGCTAACCCAGAAATAGTGCTTCAGGTTAAGAACTTTGCTTCAGGATGAGAACAGAAATTCTGCTCTGGCGGCGCAACGACAGCAGGAGGCCCCATTAGCTAAAGTGGTGCTTCAGGTTAAGAACAGTTTCAGGTTAAGAACGGACCTCCGGAACGAATTAAGTACTTAACCCGAGGTACCACTGTACTACTACTGCTACTGCTGCTGCTACTACTAATAATTGTTGCACAGTGCAATGAGGACACCTCCAGCTCTCCTTCCTTGACTCTGGAGGCAAACGGGTTGTGTCTGGACAGGCAAACTTTGACAGTTTGATTTTATTTGCTGATGACAGATCTGCCGCTGCTGTTTTATGGAGTGATGTCATCTTACGTTGTCCCAAGCTGAGGAGGAGAGCAGATCCCATGTACCTGCAGCCTCAGCTAGCTGGCTCTCATGAGCCAAAGTATGCAAGGTTTCAACTTGCACCAAAAACCTCATAAATTTCCTGCTGCTGCTTCCTCCTCCTCTCTGCCTCCTTAACAGAAATAGCAAGCTCTTGACGACCTTCTCATCCTGTGACAACACTTCTTTCTTATTTTTTAAAAATTCTTCCTAATTTTAGGTGACATCTGCCCTCGGTCACAAGAACAGCAAGCACTCCTTTTCGGTGGAAGGATTTGCAAGAGGGTGTCATTGACCCCCTGAAGAAATATGAACAGGGCTGGAGAGCCTGAAGGATACCAGAGCCGTGAGCCATCGGCCTACTCCTCCATGTGCAGAGGAAAAGATCACATTTGCTTGCCAAAGGAGTGCAGGGATTTCTTTTTTTGGTAGAATTTGCAAGCCAAGAGGGGAGAAGGTGGTGGAGTTGTGGATGGCAGCCCCATTGCCTGGAGGGGGAGGCAGGCCGCCCTCAGAGATAAGGGCTGCAATTATGAAAGAGAAAGATGGATGGATGGAAATGAGTCGCGTGTGGAAAATGTGGGTCTTTGACATCTCACTGTATCCTTCATAGGAGCACAACAAACTGCCTTAGGGTGATTCAGAACCTGGGTCCATCCCAGCTCAGAATTTACCCTCCAACATTTTCCCAATAAAAACAGGGATGTCCTATTTAACAACAACAACAACAACAACAACAACAACAACAACAACAACTCATCTGACTGGGATGCCCCAGCTACTCTGGGTGGCCTCCAACACATATAAAAACATAAAAGGTAAAGGGTAAAGGGACCCCTGACCATTAGGTCCAGTCGTGGCCGACTCTGGGGTTGCGGCGCTCATCTCACTTTACTGGCTGAGGAAGCCGGATTTGTCCACAGACAGTTTTTCCGGGTCATGTGGCTAGCATGACTAAGCCACTGGCGAACCAGAGCAGCGCACGGAAACGGCGTTTACCTTCCCGCCGGAGCAGTACCTATTTATCTACTTGCACTTGACGTGCTTTCGAACTGCTAGGTTGGCAGGAGCAGGGACTGAGCAACGGGAGCTCACGCCATCACGGGGATTCGAACCGCCGACCTTCTGATCGGCAAGTCCTAGGCTCTGTGGTTTAACCCACGGTGCCGCCCGCGTCCCATATATAAAAACATAATGATATATTAAACATTAAAAAAAACTTCCCTATACAGTCATACCTTGGAAGTCGAAGGCAATCCGTTCCAGAAGTCCATTCGACTTCCAAAATGTTTGAAAATCAAGGCATGGTTTCAGATTGGCTGGAGGAAGCTCCTGCAGCCAATTAGAAGCCTTGGAAGCCCCATCGAATATTTGGCTTCCAAAAATAGTTCGCAAACCAGAACAGTCACTTTTGGGTATGCAATGTTCAGGAGCCAAAAAGTCCGGGAACTAAGCTGTTTGACTTCCAAGGTACAACTGTACAGGGCTGCCTGTCTTCTAAAGATTGCATAGTTACGTATCTCCTTGGCTTGGGGGTCACATAACTCCATACCCTCCAACATTTCTCTGATGAAAATAGGGACGTCCTAAGGAAAAGCGGGTTCCAATCAGAAACTGAGCAGCTTCTGTAAATCCGGGACTGTCCCTGGAAAATAGGGATACTTGGAGGGTCTGGGATTGTCTACCCTGGGGTTAGCTAACAAGGTGCCCTCCAGACTGTCAGGGTTGGAGTCCGATGCAAGTCATCACAAAGAGCCAGTTGCCAGTGAAGTTAACTCTTTATTCAAGGAAATAGTATACAACTTGGCAACACTTCCCAGTAGGTCTTGCCCCTGTGGAGCAGTTGCCAGGACTGAAAGCCCCTATCTTCAACCCTTTCTAAGATTTCTCCTCTCCCAGATGATTCTCAAGCCATCTTAAGCTGTGTCTGCACACCTCCTGGTCTGCCCTCCTCATTATTCTGTGCATTCTTGGGGACTGGGGAGGAGGGCAGCTTTTTGCAACAGGAGGGGGAGACTCTCTGGAGTCTTCAGAAGCTTCTTGACCCCCCCATCTTTGCTTCAGCCTTGGAGTCTGAACTGCTCCCTGCCACCAACTCTCCCTGCTCACTAAACCCTGTTGCCCCTTCAGCATCAGCCCCTCCTCCCAATCGTCTCCTTCTGTCCTCTCTTCAGTGTCCCACCACCAATCCCCTGGTTCTGAGCCTTCCTCCTCTGGGGATTCCCTTGGAGGTTCCTTGGCTGGTGCCTCCCACCACTCCTCTTTGTCCAGTCAGTTCCTGACACAGATATTGTTAGACTTCAACTCCCATCATCCCTAGCAGCCAGCATGGCCCCTGGTAAGGGATGATGGGAGTTGTAGTCCAGCAACATCTGCAGGGCATCAGGTTGACTACTGGTCTTGAATGGGCCAGTGGTGCTTCCCAGGGCTCATCTGTGGCTCTCCTAATGTTGCTGAACTACAACTGCCATCATCCCTTGCAGCCAGCACAGCCAATGATCAGGGATGATTGGTGTGGAGTCGAACAAAAGTTTTACATCCCTGGTCCAGCCCCTTTCAAGGTTCACCTGGGTGCCTCTGTTGACTCGGAGAATTCCACATCATCCCTCTGCAAGGCTTCTCTCCTGGGTGCTTGTCAGGCAGCGACTGGGGGGGGGGGGAGCAGGGAGGAAATACCACAAGAATTTCCAGCACCCAGACCAGTCCTGAAATAGTTAAGGGGCCAACTTGTGTAGCGAGGAACCTGCCAGATCAAGATTACACCCAAATTTGGGGGTTTTTATGGTGCTGATCGAAGCCCAAGAGAGCACAAGAGATTTCCATGATGTGTTTGGTTTTGTTTTTCATTCCATTGGAAACAACTTTCCTCTTTAAAACAAACAAGCCTCCCTTCCATCTTCCCTGCTGCCAAACACCATTGTAGAGCAGAGTTTTTTTGCAAGGGGAACAGGGAATCAGAAGGAAGTATGGAAATCATCTGGGTCGAGGGTCGGAGGAGGTGCCTGCACTGTTTCCCAGCTTGAGGGAGCAAAGAGAACAGACCCTCTTGCCACAGGGCACAGGACTGGTTGCTTGCAGTGTTGACCTGGCAGAGTGTGAAGTGGGGAGCTGGAGGTAGTTTTTTCTTTATTATTAATCAATAAATCAACTGGAGGCAACTTTTCCCTATTCAATCTGTCAGTCAATTAAATTTGTATACTGCCCTTCAGCCAAAGATCGCAGGATGGATCACAACATAAAAATACAAAAAGGAGAACAGAAATCGCACTATAAAAACAAAAACAACCCCCCCTAAAAACACACACAAAACACACACCTCTGAAAGGCCATAGAAAGTTATTCAGTCAAAGGCCTGGTTAAAGAGAAATGTTTTCGCTTGGCGTCTAAAGATTTGCAATGAAGGCACCAGGTGAGCCTCCCTGAGGGGAGAAGCCCTCAAATGGGGAGCCACCACAGAAAAGGCCCGTTCTCGTGTTGTCACCCTCACTTGCTTTAGCCGGCCAGTCAAAGCCATTCCCGGGGTGCGGCTACTGCTGTTTGCTGACAGCTTCTAGGAGCCGCAGGTGAGAGCTGAGTGCAGGATGGGGACCAAAAGTGGACAAACTACCCCAGAAGCAGCTTGACGTGTCCCGCACCAGAGGTACTACTCTTATCATTCTAAGTCTGTGGCCATCGCTGCATCGCTCCAGTTTTGAACTCTCTCCTGTTACATATTTATTTGGTCCCTTCCCACCCACTATGATCTGGAACACACAGATTGCAACACTGGGGCTTGCTGGCTGCATGAACTTCTCTTTCAGGTGGGGCTTGGCATGGCTGGCTCTTCCTTCCCTCTGGTTTGATGCCCTTGGCAGGCTGTGTGGAGTCCCGGCGGAGAGCAAAGCTGGGCAGCAGATGGGAGTCACAGCCTGGCAACTCGTCATTCTCCCAGCCCAGACTGTGTTTACTTGTCCTAAAAGTGGAAACTTGGAGGCCTTATTTTGGGTATCAGACATGCCTTTGGCTGAAGGCTTTTAGGCCTGGGACTTACAATTGTGGTATTTTGGACACCTTCCCTGGCTGGTCCCAAAGATCCTGGGATGGGATGGAGGCAGGGCCAGCCTAAGATGGTATGGTGCAGAAAACCCTAAAGGTAACACTCATCCTTTCTGCTGAATTATCTTCTGCAGCTGGTACCCATTGCGGCTGATGGGGCACAAGGCAGGGAGCCTGACAGTAGGTGGCGCCAGAGCTGAAGAAAGGCAGAGCCAGCTAATTAGTTTTGCCTCCACCCTCCTCCCTGCTATGTTCTGCAAGGTTTGCACTGACACTAAGGAGGTATCCGGAGCCAGGTGTAGGTCAGCCATTTAAAAGACACCAGTAGTGGAACCTTGGTTCTCGAATGGCTTAGCTGACGAACAAAAACCTGGTGGTGTTCCAGTTTTTGAAAGTTTTTCAGAACCTGAATATCCGACGTGACTTCCGCTTGAGTGCAGGAAGCTCCTGCAGCCAATCGGAAGCTGGGCCTTGGTTTTTGAATGGTTTCGGTTGTCGAACGGACTTCCGGAACAGATTAAGTTCGAGAAGCAAGGTTCTACTGTATCAGTGAAGTTAACTCTTTCTTTAAAGAAACAGCTCAGTCATGGAGGTCACAGCAACCCTTCCCAGTAGGTCTTGCCCCAAGGAAGCAGTGGCGAGGAGGTTGTGCCAAGGTCCCTGTTTTCCCACAGCAGCCTAGGTCCCCTCCTTTCCAGGTCCCTGCCAAGCAATCAGAGACTGTTCCTGTCTGCAACCAACCTCTCCTTTACCTTTAAGCCTGCAGAGGGGCACCATTGAGGCTCCTCGCCTGTGTGCATGTGTACACACACGTGTGTGTGTGTGTACCAAACTGGGCCTTTGACCTGGATGAAATAAAGCCTAGTTTTGCCTCTGCCCCTGGGTGGCGACCATGAGAACCGGTGGGGGCCGGATCCAGCAGCAGGTTCCTATGTTCTTCCCTTCATCTAGGCTTGCCATAAGTCAGGAAAATTCCTGACATGTCCTGGTTTTCAGGTGTAAAAATGGTGCGGGGTGTGTGTGGTGGTTTTGCCGAATCGGCAAAATGTCAGGGGAAACTCAGGTGTATGGCAAGACGATGGAAAAAGCAGCGGAGACAGCTCAGAAAGCTTAAAATTACTACAGTGGATGCTCAGGTTGCGAACGTGATCCGTGTGGGATGCACGTTTGCAACCCGCAGTGTTTGCAACCTGCAGCGGCGCATCTGCGCACGAGCAGGTTGCGATTCGGCGCTTCTGCACATGCGCAAAGCATGATTTAGCGCTTCTGCGCATGCGTGACCACCAAAACCCGGAAGTAACCCGTTCCGGTACTTCCAGGTTTCAGCGGTCCGCAACCCCAAAAAAATGCAA